TAACAAAATCGTAATAAGTTGTAATAATCATATGAATTAAACCAAAAAACAAAAAATCAAATGCCTTTGATACCGATTTGTATGATAGACACTGATTATCAAAAAAGTTACTACCAAACATTATAATCATAAATCATCATATTAGAAGCAAGATAGTTTCAAAAAACACAACTATGGGTCTAAGCTTCTAATAATCCTCAGTTTATGAAAACTCAAACTATCAATGCACCTAAAAAAACTACCTTAATTCGATAAACACCAACCATCGTACACAAACAGTCATTCCATAAAAAAAAAAAAAATAAAATAGCACAAGGTGCCACGTTTCACACGAGATAAACAGTTCAGCGCCATGAGCTTAACGTAGATTGGACAAACGGGACTAATCGCCTCGTGAGCAACAGCCAGTACGCAATCTCTGGATACCGGCCAATTTAAGATTCATCTCTTCTTGCACTCTATGGCTCGTTGCTACTGCATTTATACGTACCGGTGGAAAGCAGAGAGAAAAGCTAAATGCCACTTACTCCGCCTGGTCATTGTCTCCGGAGCTGCGATGGTACGACGACACGCCAAGTCTGTGCGTCGTCTCTTAGTCTCTTTCCCTGCCTATCTCAGATGCATTTTTCTCCCAAGATGTATCTCTCCGTGGGGATTTTGAGCTTTTTCAGTGCAGTGTAGAAATGAGAGCGAGCTCAGGGAATACAAGTTTGCTGACGTAGCTGTCGTCGTCAGCGGAACAAGAGGATTACCCTCGGTACGGATACAGTCAGTGGAACCGTGGAAATAACGGAGAGAAATTTTGTTATCTCATGCGGCGAGTAAAATTTAAATTTGTGATAAGCAGGTGAAACCTATCAGCGTTTTGATTAAAATTAAAATCTGGATGATCGATTACGTTAATGAGTTTGAGCTCGTAGATTAATAAAATGGATTCCACCAGGAATAAATCAATCCAAAGTTCTCACGTCTCCGTGAAATCTCTTGCAAACGCGGAAAACCTCATCAGCATTTGTAAAACAAAGCACCCGCAAAATCCCACTTCCCTTTAATAAGTGCTCATATAATATCCTGACCTCTGTGAATTTAGTATATTTGCGCATCACGAGATTAAATTTCAACCGCAGGAGTTGCGTACACACACAAGTGTGATATTTATCATTTTAATACTCGTAGTTTAAATCACTGAAATATCCTGCGCGACGACAATCAAGACACTAGAAGGCAAGCTTGCAACCACATGCGTATACATGTATAGGCATGCATACCACGAGAAATCCAATTTCCATCGCATTAATTTGCTGAAAATTTTCAATTAAGCTGATGAATTGCAAAAATAATTCATTTTGAAATCTAGGTCGGTAGCATTAGGCAAGGATGTTCCTTAGGATTATTATTACGGTCAAATTAACGATTTTTCCATCCGTTCAGGGAAGGAGGTAGTCTATAAGAATCCCTTTCTACTTTCTAGGTTCAGCGTGCAATGTTGACAGAAAAAAAGGAAAAAAAATTCAAGTTCCAAACCTTGTGAAAAAAAGGCACACAATAGAGTGAGAAGCAAAGGTGAAGACGTGGACGAGTAAGAAAACAATGAGAATAAAAGAAAAACTGCAGAGGAAGCACGGGGGTTGGAGTGCATCGAGGTCGTGTAGGAAGGGGGGATGGTTCCAGGAGTAGGACAGACATAAAGGCCAAGAGGATGCCGAACGAAGGAACGGAGAAGCTGGTGATAAGAAGCACGGACCGTGGTATGAGGAGATAAGAAAACACACGCGCGCTTTTTCACAGTGAAACAGAGAGAGAGAGAGAGAGAGAGAGAGAGAGAGAGAGAGAGAGAGAGAGTGCAGTGAGTGAGCAACTGAAAAAAGTGGAGAAGGGGAAAGATTGACGTGGACGCAGATCGGAGAAGAAAGCGTCAGCAGTATGCCGAGGTAGGGAGGGTCCACGGTGCTTTAATCGCTCCCGCGGAGCGGAATAATCCAGCCGTCTGGGAAAAAGCTTGAAAGCTTTCCTGGGTGGTTTCTTCACCTCCCCAAAAACTCGCGCTTCTGAGAAAAGGAGCAGTGGTACAGCAGCGCCTCCGTGATGGATAATTCGGTTGAGGTACCCCCCCTCTCCCGTTTCTTTCTTGGTTGGGTGTATAATGCATTAGCCTTTGTCGATGACGCCGGGAATTAGGGATTCTATTTTCGTGAGTGGTCGCCGTTATATAATGTATAGCTAGCTGATCTATGGTGTGCTGTACCGCAGAAAGGGAGTTCAGCGGTGGATTCTATTCTTCGCCCAATCTTCGAAGCTGCTTGCGTGGAAAATGAAAAAGAAGGAGACTCGAACAGAAAGGCCTTGTAGAGGATCAGCGGTTTTATTATGTAAGGACAGGAGGTAGGTAAAGTGGCTTTTTACCCTTGCGGCTGGAAAATTTTTCCTTTGATGGATCGTGACTATGGATAACCCAATAGGCTTGCTTTGTTTATTTTTTTCCCTTCAAATTAAAAATGACCCTAGCACGATATGATGGATCGATTCGGGTTATTCATTGTTAAATATCATAAAGTTGGCTGGAACATAAAGTGCATTCACGAGTACCTTGTTTATTACGAAACATTTTTGACAATAGATATCCTAACCTTAAAAGACACAAGATTTTTTTTAATTTCCAGCAAAATGATGGTAGCCTAGAAGTGGTTTAGCCACTGAAAGATTCGTTACCTGATGGATAGTCAATTTCACGTGGTAGAAAGGAAGTCCCATTAGGTACTTAAAATCATAATTATAAGCTATGAATGCTAAAATCACCACTAATCCCATTTCCCATTAAACAGTAAATGGCACGCTCTCGAAGCTCCTTATGGTGGTTGTAAATTCACGGCTATCCATAATACTCGCGTATGCTCCTGCGCGAAATGGATCTTGATTGCGTAAAGGGTGATGAATTGGATATATTTGCTCGCGTACCTGGAGTTATGAGAAAGAGCTGCAACGTTCGACTTGATAATGGTTGACAGCTGATTTAATGTAATATAACCTCTAAGTGCCAGTGTGTAATTATTATCAAGTAGAGATATAAGGTGTTATGGTGAGGTATATATTAAGCATTATCATCTATATACATCGAGTATACATCATCTAAAATCAGTTATGTGATACTTTAAAAGAAGATAAGCGCACCTACAGAGTGGTTTTTTTAACACATTGGCAATCAGTTCCGAGGTGTAAACGTAAGCTCTACATATTTATACTGATTTTCTGTAAAACATTTAGTAACAGATTAACCTGTAAATGTTTTCGTAGTTAACCAATGATTCTAAAGATGCTTAAATTTTATTGAAACTAAAATATTAGAAATTCATCTTGATACAAGGTGGCTGATAAACCATGTTGGAGTGCAATTTACTTTAAGTTTAAATATTAGTTTCCCCAAGTTTAAAAATTGTTGTAGCCCTTCCCGTTATTCAAATAGAAGGTTAATAGTATATCATAATAACACCCAAAGGTAATTAATTTCATAACAGGTTTGTGTTAGAAATTAATATCAAACGGAAATGGTTTCATAACATCGCCCATACTAGGTATTTAACTCTAACATGTTTCCTTGAATATTTATCGAGTAAATACAAAGATTCGGTATAGTTTTAATGAGCTATGGAACCAATAATAGTGACGAATTTCTGACATTCATTGATGGTGATGGAATATTTCGATACGCAATGCGTTTAGTTTTAGAATTTGGTCATAATCCATATAGATTATTAAACACGATTACTTACTAAGGTTAATAGGAAAATATTTAAAAAATGAATGTCTTGTTATACAAACTTTTTTTGTATAAACAACATTTCCTGCTTGTCAACATAATAAACAGCGCATAAACATGCTATAAAGTCAACGTATAATGATAATTTCATTTTGCTAGAAAATCGTTCTACCATCTTAAGAGAGGAGACCAAGTAGTTGTTCATAAAAAAAGTCTAGACAGCGAGCAACTCGTATTCTATTTATTTATTTTCCATTAAACTTTACTGATGACACTGTCAGTGGAATTAGCTGCATAATATATGATAATAAATTACTTTAAATATTAAAAACACAAAAAAAAAATAATAAAAACAAAAAAGTCAACGAAAAATACATATTTATAAATAAACTGTATTTTTAATATAAAAATATGGAATGAAGATTATTTAGAGTCAAAAAAATATTAGTTTTCGTCGGATAAGTGCCATCGTCTCCGGGGCTATTTTGCTACTATTTCCTACCTCGGGCGTTTTTGAGAGGCTGGTGTGCCCTTGGTAGGAAAAATAGCATTCGCCACGTAAGTGCCATCGCTCCGTGGCTACCTTATATCTGTACCTTAGGCCGCCAAATAGCCCTAAAGACAACGGCACTTATCTAACGAAAACTACTATTTTTATCTTAGACAATCAAACACTACCGAGTTCAATAACATATTATTCTTTAATGTTTCACATCTGTCGTGGGTCCTGAGACCCACACCTATTTATTAGTTTTATTCATTTTATTAAAGTTTTACTGTAGTTTTTTTCATTATTACACAAGATTAATGTTCTCTTTAGCTGCACAGCATTAGTGTAATAATTTAGAAGGTGCATATTTCACTCAATCTTGCTGCAGTCGACGTATCTTGCCCTTCTCTAACGTACGCATTTGTTGTAATTATAGTTATATCCCCAATCCTCCTCCGCAGCTTCTGTAGTGCCCGGCTTAATAAAGTAAACAGATTACTGTATTAATTGGTTGTTGGTTTTAATCTTTAAACTCGGGCATCACAGGTTTTATTATTTGTTGCTACTTAAGATTTACTAAATATGTATGATCATATATCATAGGATTACACGTAACCATTTTAACCTTAACGCAAAAAAAAATAATAAAAACAAAAGAAAACGAAATTGTAAACATGTACGGTATGCATGTGCTATTTCCCCAAACAACTCGATCGATAAAAAAACGCTCGAACGAGAACCCCCAAAAATGCTCACCTGAAAGTCGAACTTCTCAAATTCCACCTGCGCGTCGATATCCGCATCCCTCGGCATGATGAGTGGACATGTATCCGGCGAGACCTGAGCGTCAGGCAGCTGACTACTATCGGAAGGCCCGACCGATGTTATAGCCCTCTCAAAGAGCCCAGACTCGGCGATCCCGGGAGCTGACCCCGCACTTCCGACCGCGTTGCTCGGCTGCTGGCTCTGGTTCACATAGTAGAGGCAGAGCAGCAGCGTCGCGACGATGGCTGCGAGCGCGAACATGCGGCCCGAGCCACGCCTCAGGATCTTGTACATCGCGTTCGAGCACTCGCGCACGCTCGCACAGGTTTTTTGTTTGGGCAAAATTTTCGCTGATTTTTCTTGGCCCCGTTTTTTTTTTTTTTCTTCCCTTTCTGGCTTTTACCTATCGATGGACCTTCTTTTGTTTTCGCAGCTGGTTCACAGCGTCATGTTACGGATGCAGAGCGTCGAGCGGCTTCCCTGCTCCCACGCCTCCTCCCTCGCCTTTAGCTGGTGTCGCTGTCCAGCTACATTTGGCTCTGCACCTGTCGCGGTTGCTTGGCTTGTCTGTAACACGAGGAAAAAGAAGGCATCTGGTTAATGAGGGAAGTACTGATGATAACTATTTCGTTTTTTTTTTGTTTTAATATATGTTAACTTTTTTTTTTTTTCAATACAATCATTAAAAATGTTTAAAACTTTCACAACGATAATTATATTCATGTGGATTTGGTTGTTAATTATTATCTCAAAGAGCTCTTTTCCGCACTTGTTACGTAAATAACTATTGTATAACTTGAATCCCATATTATTCTGGAAAATTCCTAATCTTGTGGATCCTTTATAAATTGCCGTAATAGATATGAAATAATTTTGCAAAAGTGAAAGAACTGTATCAGCGTAAGCTAATTTGTTCATAATATTTAAATAATAAATATTTCATTATACATAAATGTTTGTTTCACTTAGGCATTTACACAAATTTTACAGAGCAGTCAGCTTATTAACATGAGCATGAAGATTTCATGTCAAAGGAACGTATGCATTTTCTTTCCTCGTATAGAGATGAAAATCTATATTGCAAGCATAACAAAGTCACGCAATGATTGCGTGTGTCTAAAGAGCTGTGGTATTGTTATTATGGTGCACATTATGAGTGACTCGTAAAAAAATCGTATGATGTATATGATAAGAAATTTAATTAATTTTTTTTTATAGGTACACCTACTTAACAAGACTAATTTTATTTATATTCCTATANCATTTGTATATTATCTTTTTTATCATTGATGTTAAAATTGTTGAACACAATGTAGAGCATTTCACATATCAAACGTTTATTGCGATTTGATTGTTTATCTAACATTTGTTTTCTTTTAACGAATATTTTTTATTTATTTATTATTTTTTTTTTTGAAAAATTTCTATTTTTTCGAACGTCTGTGTTTGAGCGCTCCATTACATCAAAAGGTATTACGTGGAGTCAAGAAAAGTTAAATTTCTGATCTACTTATACTGTATAAGACAAGTCAGGTAACTTAATTAAGTATTCATTATTTTCTATAAAAGTTAATAAGAAACTTTTTAAAACTAGAATTCATATTTGATTGTTTCACAAGGAATGCTGATTTTTTTAATTTATTTATTCAAGAAACACCGGGCAGTACGTCTGATAACCCGTTATATATTTATTATGAAAAGTAAAATTCAATCGAAATGCTTTAATATTTATTCATTGCATATGTTTTAATGGGTAGCTGGGTATCTTTTTTTTCGAAATTATAATTGATTTAAATAATTTTCATTTAAGCTAATAAAAATGACCTTTATTTTAACAACGAAACATAATATTGTGTCATTACTACTCCAGTTTTTGCCTGAAGAGAATAGCTATAAATAATTGCCTTAAAAGTGCATCGGGGCATTTTTTAAGGAGGTTTGGTCGTTTTTGAGGAGATTTATTCACTCACTGAAAAAAATTAATGTTGTACTTTAACATGCTAGAAGTACAAATGAATTTTATCAATATTTTTTATCAGCAAAATTTTCAAGAAAAAAATTCCCGAAATTGCATGATTTAACATTGCTCTTATGGGCGAGAGCGATTATTCAGCCTTTGTTACACAAATTTAGGTGCTAGAGATTTATTCATGATGAGAAAAAAGTTCAAATGGATAGCTTAACTTCTGAGGAAGGCTCTCGTATCAAAAAATGTGCACCTTGTCAGGCATTTGGAAGAAATACCTGTGCAAACGTAAACAAAGTCGCGAGCAGGTCTTATACTAAGTGTATGGGAGAGAACCGAGCATCGTCTACTGTCAGCTGGTCTTTTCAAACGGAGCGAGACGTCTTTACAAAATTGCTTCTAGAACTTGTTAAACTAGAAATCATGATCTGAAACTTGGCCCAGCCTTTCTTAAGACTTCAAACTATAATGCTGTGCAAAAAAAATTTATTTATCGAAAATTGATAACACACTTTTGTTGACGAAAGTTTAGTCTATTCTTACTTTTTTAAGGTTATGTTTTATCATGCAAACAACATGTTTATAAGTTTTTTTACTCGAACTATCGGAAACAAGCTGCCTTAAAGTATGTATCGTAATTTGTTCAAAACATTTAATGGTTGAATTTTTGAGCACTGACGAGTTGAATACAGTTAGGGTGCGTGTACATTGAAGATCTGCTGTTTGGCAACTGCCATAGTCAAAGCTCTCTGGTCTCATGAGAGTGAGAGAGAGAGTTTCATCACGTGACCACATTTAACCTCTCTCTCACTCTTATAAGACCAGAGAGCTTTGACTGGCAGTTGCCAAACAGCAGGTCTTCCATGTACAGTGGAGGCCGTTTCATTCGTTGAGCGGGAAATTCAAACATATAATTCCCATTGGCTGATTCGATCACATAACCTCTTTCACTGGTCAATTTCATACTTCCCGCTCAACGAATGAAACGGCCTCCACTGTACAGGCACCCTAATTAACCGTGATGCGCAGGTTGACGTTTTCATGCACGGTTAGTACAACTCACTTTAACACGGTGTTTTACGGGAGCCTTCGCACACCCGCTCACCCCTCGGGAAAAACGACCGAACCTCCTTAAGAAAAAAAACTCATTTTAATGAAAATACTAATGGTTATTGTAATGACATTATGAATTGACAAATTCACAAAACTACCCGTGTGAAAAGAAAAAAAAAGAAAAAAAAAAAAAAACGCAGTGATGCAGGTATCGGCTGAAGTAGCAAAGAAAATGAATTGAAACGAGAGAAAGAAATCAATGGCCGAACGGAAAATCAAAAACGCTCTGAATACATCTACCTAGATAACTCATTCGCTACTGTATACGACAATACATTTATACGTGCATGTGCTTTATTGCATGTCTCCCATGCGTTATTTTGTGACACTTTAACAATATAATCGACATAGACGTATGCACACACATAACACGTCGATCGACACTGATAGAAAGGTAATTTGATTCGCTAACGGTCCAGTCGTGTCACAAACTCACACACATAAGTATATGTACCTACACACGCGCTCACACACACACACACACACACAAACGCATACACATGTACACAGAGTCAAAAAAAGCCATAACAAGCCAAGCTGACAATTCTGGTCAGATTCGCTCCAGCAGGCAGACCATTCGTGTAACATGTTCGTACATATGTACATACATACAAAGCATTGTACCTCACACCTGTCGCGCACATAACGAAATGAAGGGGGAAAGCATGAATTATACGGGCGCTTAGGCTCGAGTTGATTAAATGTCCGCGAAAATTATGACTGACTGCGTGCTTCGACGTCCCTGCCTGCATATATGAGCATTAACGCGAGGGAAGCACCAAATGCGAGAGTGAAAGGAGCAAGGTGATCTATGTAAAAGTCGAAATTTGAAAATTGATGTATAGGTACTGCCATTAGTACCATGTGTTTTTAGCAATCCGAAAAGCATTTAGGAGCAGCAGTTTTGTGTCAAATGATTGTTTGTATCGCACTCCACAACCGAGGCCCAAAAAGGTAGCAGTCGAGCTTTATCGATCAATTATTTGATTGGAAAATAAATCTTCAACTTTGCACTTTTGCAAATAAAGCCACTTGACTATATATGTCTGTTTCCAACTCGGAGAGACTTTAAGAACTTAAAAAGTATTTACGAATAAGACTTTCATTTTCAGTTGTTGCTCGTTTTCGTACAAGAAGAATTCTGACGATCACCTGTTAAAAAAAAAACTCAAAAACCAAGAAACTCAATGTTTGGTTGTCAAGGAAACGAAGTTTGATCAAAAGAAAGACGACGTACAATATTTTTTTTGTCGAACGTCTGTGTTTGAGCGCTCCACTCTTCCGCTCCGTGGCCTATCCATTTTATCAATCTCTAAGGTGATTGGTGAGGGAAAAACAAGTGCCCCCGACCAGCCTTATTTGACACGACCTTTACCACGACTTAACTAAGCGTGCGGAAAGTTGCCTCTTTTTTTTGATCTCGATAAATGTGATAATAATAATAATAAAAACAATAATACAGGTGGACGTTTAACAAAATGTTTATATAAATGCACAACAAATAATAAAACGTAGTTAGTAGCAATGGTGGTTGAATAAAGAAAAAAAATTAATAAAGAGCTGATAATGACGTTTCTGACAGATTCTTCTGATAAATATTGTGGAAACTTTGAAAGAATATTCGTAATACCATGCAAATGTTACACAAAGTTGCAAATCATCTTACAATAACCCTTTTTTTAGGTATATAATTATAAAAACTCTCAATTAAACATGTTACCTCATGGAAGTGAAATTGCATTTGTAAGAAAAGAATCTGTTGAAATCTCACATTTCCTCATTTTATGATAGAATACTTTTAGAGAAACATAATACACTTAGATTTCCAGTGAAGCAACATGTGCAAAACCTTAAAAGTCACATCGTGCGAGGAAAAATCGTGAAATCCAGCTTTCTCCCCCCAACATAAATCAAATAGGTGAACTCGACTGTTTTCTCAGTCTCTGTCTCCTTAAACGTGTGAGCACCACATTCCCAAATAAGCGAAGCCACTCATCGTCTTTCCCACTACGACGACGTTTACCAAATTGCTGCTCAAACTTGGAGTACATAAGGTATACATACATATTACTGGGTAGCAACTCTACTTACACTTGCGTAATTCCGCGAGTGGCAATTTCCACGTGACAATTGATCTGGTTAGGTGTGACTTCCCCGCCCTCGTTTACTTTCACGTGCGTACCTCGTATAGGTACATCAGAGAGTCGGTCTACTGTAGCGGAGAAAAAAAGGGTACGGGTGCAGTCTTAGACAATCTTGTATTGAGAAAGTACTAGAAGTCGGAGTTTTTTACTGCGGAAGATTGCGAAAAGGACGCAATATTTTTGGTTTTAGCCAACTTTCTTGACGCGAACTTTTTCTTTGAGAAAAATAAGAAAGCACGTTTGAGGGAATAAAAAACATTTTTTTATTACATTGCCTTTACTGCTCAAAGTAGTAAGTCAACGGTACAAGTACGTTAGTGAAATATTCAAACGAAAGAGAAACT